CTAGGGGCTCTCGAATGGTGACAGGCTCAACATTCCCATGATCAGCTATTCTTCTATACTTATATTTACATTTAATTCTAATTTCACTTCTAGAGTTAATCACCTTTCATTTCTTTACTGCTCCTTCAACTTTGTAGGCTAATTCTGTCTTTTGATTATCCATTTCTGTAAAATGTCATGTGGCAGCACAACTACATGGTTTGCTGTTTGTGTGTGAACTGAATAACAGATCAGTGACCGGTCACTTTCAGACTTTGAAAACAATGATCTGATTGGTGATTTATCATAATACACATCTGCTATTTTATTAGTGTTTTGTAAACTGAAAGCTAGCAGTGAAAAATTTACTTTAATTTGAACCATGTTGTTAAGTGACTGGTGTTATTTAATTAAACTGTGCCAGCTGAGATTTGTGCATATCAGAACCGTGTACAGCAAGGACATCAGCATTGAAAATCTACCAGGCTGGATCACAAAACTGGTCCAGACCCAAAGGTTTCTTTCACTTTGTTTCACAATTACTTTAGCTAGCGAGTGAGGGAAAGATATAAAATCAAAGATGCATGGAGGCGGGTAGCTCACTTTGCCGGTGTCCCTTTTGTCCCTCAAGATGATGTTTCTAAAGTTTGGTGGTCTCAGTACCGGCTATGCTTGCTGTATTTTCCTTTTGTTGGAGATGCCTTTGAGAACTAGAGAGGCAAAATAAATTCTGGCATTTGTTCTTTTACTACATTTGCTTTCTTCTAACCTCCTTCAAACATAACCTGATCTTCCTGGGTGATGGTCTATAAGTAAATGTGGTCATGGGAACTTTTCTTTGTTGGAGGTGCCCTTGAAATAGTTATAATACCTCAAAGGTGAAACCAATAGGACTTTAATTTCTTTTCGAGTAGGGACAGGAATAATCTTATATTTCTGTAGCTTTTTGGACAAGGGGAGCCCTCAACCAGAACGTACATACACATCATTTAGCATTGCAAGATGAGAAATCCTTTGAGCTTCTCCTGGATTCTAGCAGAACGCACTTCCGATATCAGTTGCAGTTCCCATTCTGCTCTTCGATGTTTTCTCTAACATAATGAAGCCTTTGGCCATCACTGCTACTTTGAAAATCAAAGCCTTTTGGTCTCTAATGGAATGTTTATGAAAATACTCCATTTTGAAATTTGCTCAGGAAAAGGAAGTATGGTAAATGATGTTAGAAATCCCTCTGGCTTGCCTTGGCATTGATTCATTTAATGAGATGTACTCTGGAAATATCTGGAATTAGTGTGAATAAGAGTATTAAAACCCAAAGGTAAATAAGCTCTTATCCTCATTGTTTTCTTCCTTGGAAGTTTAGCATCATATATGCATTCCTAATTGATATTTCTATGTGATCAAGTAAATTGCTCTTTGCCAAATTTAATATAGGTATCTAGGGTAAGCTAAAAACACCTATGTCAAAAGTCTCATCTGTTTAGCTAAGGTGAAAGTGGAAGTGTTTTGGGTTTTTTTTTTTTTTTTTTTGATGGAGCATTGTAGATCGGCAAGCCTGTAGTGGAAAGGAAAAAACAAAACAAAAAAAAACTATACTGTTATATGTCATGCTCTGTTGCTTTTCTTGGTGTCAGTGAAAAAACAGTAGTCTTATATGAAACATCTAGTTTGGTAATATGGTGACTCATAAATCTTACATGTAAAAGAGGCCTAAGGACCTTTGGCTTATCCTGTGGTATTGGCCCTATCTTGATGTAAGACATTAATGTGTCTTAAAATAATAAAATAACATTCATTCAAGAAATATTTAATAGAGAATTACTTCTATACCAGGAATTATTCTAGGGAGCTAGCAGTAAATATAAGATGGTCAAACTCCTCGCTTTCCTGGATTCTAATGGGGAAGAGAGAGACAGAAAACAAGTAAATTACATAGATTAATTATCAGTTCCATGGCTTTCATTATGCATTTCTGTTCATTTGTCCATCAGCATAGGTCCCTCAGTAACATGGTCAAATGGTCTGACCACTCCAAGTATTACAGACTTGTAAAGCATTGAAATGGAATTGAGGGCAGTGACCTTTTAGAAAACAGTCAGCTCTATCAGTGACGTCTGCTTGCTTGTTCTTCTCCTATGCATGCTCCCTTGCTGGCCTTTGTTGTTTGTTCTCATGGCACTTCAGCTTTCTTTTAGAAGTAACACAAAAAAATATGGTTAGGGCTATCATTTTGACTTCAACTCCAAACCATTTTTTAAGTTCTTTTAAAAACATGTAGGGGCACCTCTGGCCAGGTAGCTCAGTTGGTCAGAGTGTTGTCCAGATACACCAAGGTTTGCAAGTTCGATCCCCAGTCAGGGCACATACAAGAATCAACCAATGAATGCATAAATAAGTAGAACAACAAATTAATGTTTCTCTCTTTCTCTCCCTCCCTCTCTCACTTTTCCTCCCTTCCTCTCTCAAAAAAAAAAAAAAAATCAATAAATTAAAAAACCACATGGTGCAACTATAGCATCTTACAATGACATTTTGTGTGAAGATGTCAAACAAAACCTGGAATAAGAAGCTTATGGTATTTTGAGAAATATCTGAGTTCCCAAGGACATCCCTTTTGTAACAGAGACTATTTAGTAACAATATTTGATTTGATTTAAAATCGTTTGGTATTTTTCATTTGAGGATAGCTTTATCACAAAAATTACACTTAAGAAAAAGCAAACTTTATCTTGGCACACAAATTTAAGGATGTCACTTTGCTGTGTGCATTAAATAAACATGCTACACAATTTTTCCATTTAAAAATATGTGGATTATTTGATTATGTCAGAGTGCTTACAGTCAAGAACTCACATTATTGCTGAAGGCATTAAAGATCTTTGTCCACTTTTTAAAATTATCTTACAGAAACTACAGCTTTGTCAAATACAACATTTAGAAACCAAAATTTTTTTTTTAACAAAGAAGGAAACACTTCCATTTTTTTCACTTAACCAAATACTCATCGTGGTAAGCTTGGTCTTTAAAACAGTGAGGCTTGTTATTTTAGTTGCTTTTGTTTTCGTTATACCTATGTTTTTTTTGCTTTTCTTTTTAGAGGTTGAAGGGAGTATGCTCTTTCTGAGAGTTCAGTTAATTGCAGTGAATTGATCAATATTCGGCAACCAGGGTTTTAAGGCCCTTTTTAACCTTGAGATTTTAGGAATCTATATTTACCTTTGCCCTGCTTTTTTCCCTTGATGACAAGAGCCAGGATCATATCAGGGATAAACTGGAGAGAGAATTGAGCTAGCGTAGGAGGACGTGATCGAGTATGTAGTGGTGACTCTAAGGGGTGCAGTTACTGTTGGTTTCTTCTCTTTTATAGTTTTTAAAAAATATTTCATACATTTTATTCATTGTAATTATTTTTATTATGGGGGGGGGGGGGGAAAAAATAAACCCACAAACAAAAAGCATTTGTAAAAAGTCACCTTCTTAAGTACCTTCCTCCAAGAAGATGACCCCTGAATTCTTCATGTTTCAATATATAATTAATTAAAGCAATGATTAAGAAAAGAACTTTTGTGGAGAGAAGTTATTTTTTGATGGGGTTAAAATATAAGGCTTATGTTTATTGACTCATAGAAGCAGTATTTGTTGTTGTTGTTTTTAAAGAGAATTTTCCTTGGTGGCCAGATGGAATTTAAGGTAAACATTTTATGTCCTTTAAGGTGGGGCAGTCTATTGATTTTTATATCCTCAGCTCTAAATATACCACTAGCCCATACTACTAGGTGCTCAAAACTGGGCTGAACCCAATACCCATTGTCTTCCTCCTCCTCCACCTTCACTTCCATCTCCACCTCCACCAGAGGATTAAATAACTTCCTAACTTTTCCATTGCTTTCCTGGAGCTTATACTCTAAAGGGGAAGAGAGAGACAGAACACAAATTAATTACATGGATTAATTTATCAGTTCCTATCTTTTCCATTGATTCTCAAAGAGAGTGGAAGGGAGAGGGAGAGAAAGAAAAACATCGATGTGAGAGAGACACACCGACTGGTTGCCTCCCGCGGGTGCCCTGACCAGGCTGGGGATTGAGCCATTGAGCCTGCAACTGAGGTATGTGCCCTTGACCAGAATCGAACCTGGGACCTTTCAGTCCAAGGGTCAGTGCTCTATGCACTGAGCCAAACCGGCAAAGACCCAATCAATACCCATTCTTAAGGCAATTGAAAATAAGATAATCCCAAGTAAAAGGAGTGAATTTTTGATGTGTTCTTTTTCAGTTACTCTCCAAAGTGTTCCTTTTCAGAAAGTGTGAAAATGTTTTTATGCGTAATATATTGTAACCACGAGCACTGACTTTATATTTCAGAGTTGGAGGAAATGAGATTGATGTTTCACATAATTGTAAAATGCCAAAAATAAGTAGAACTGAAATGAGTTAAAGCCCAGTGTTCAGAACGGCCAAGTAAAAGCTTCAGATCAACGGTGGCTATAATTGAAAGGATCCAAATAAGTATTTAAAACCATCCCTGCTGGGACTGCTAGGATTTCTGAATTTCAAATTGGCATTTTATGTTTGACAAGGTGACATTGTATAAGAAATGTATTATAAAACACTGCTGTACGATAGGAAAATGATTGAATGTAAATATTTCAAGATGTGGACCACTGTTCAAATGTTATCATAAATCTTTGCCATTGTTTTAGGGGATAACTCTTCATGCATATATGAGATGCATTGATAGAGCTAGTTCTTAGAAGGGAAATCTTCAGCGAGTTTCTGCCTCTTCTACCACTAGTCTGATTTTATCACAAAAGTACTCTTTAAATCTTTGCCATGTTATTATATGCTTATTGTTAAATAAGTGGGGAAACCCCCCCTTTTTTTTTTTTTTACACTACATCTGGCATTGCTTTGTCCTCTTCATTGAGTGGCTGAAATATCACATGTGAAATTAGAATGGGCTGAGACAGTTGGCACTATTAAACTTTGAAAAGTAAGGCTAACTGTCCTTCTATTCCTTGCAGGTTTGGAAGGTTTACAGTAGCTGCTCTTCAATCCAAAGTAGAACAGTATGAACGTGAAACCAATCGCCTCAAGAAAGCCCTGGAACGAAGTGATAAGTATATAGAGGAACTAGAATCTCAAGTTGCACAGCTAAAAAATTCAAGTGAAGAGAAGGAGGCTATGAATTCCATTTGCCAGAGAGCACTTTCTACAGATGGCAAGGGGTGCAAAGGCAGTGAGGAGGATATGGCATCAACGAATCAAGGTGATGGTGCCAGAAAGCAGCTTGGCTCTTCGACCCCAAGTTCTCACCTGACACAGCCTTCTAACAGTTCTGCTCGTCAGGAAAGCACCAGCAAAACAGAACTAAATTGTTCCAAGAACAAAGACGTATATCAAAAACAGGTGGAAATAATGTTAGGTGTAACTGATGCCAGTATGGATACTTATTTGGAAAGAGAATGGGGTAATAAGCCAAGTGATAGTACTTCCTACAAAGATGAACTTTATGATCTTCCAGCTCCTTGCACTCCTTTGTCCCTTAGTTGCCTTCAGCTCAGTACTCCAGAAAATAGAGAGAGTTCTATGGCCAAAGCAGGAAGTTCCAAAAAGCACTCAAACCATCTCAGAAAATTGGTGTTTGATGATTTTTGTAATTCTACAAATGTTTGTAATAAAGATTCTTCAGAAGATGATAAAAGTGAAAATGAAAAGAAATCAGAATGTTTTACTTCCCCAAAGACTGGGTTTTGGGATTGTTGTTCCACAAGCTATGCCCAAAGCTTGGATTTTGAAAGCGCAGAGGGGAACACGATAGCAAATTCTGTGGGAGAGATTTCTTCAAAACTGAGTGAGAAATCAGGCTCATGTTTATCTAAGAGGTTGAATTCTATTCGCTCTTTTGAAATGAATCGGACAAGAACATCCAGCGAAGCCTCAATGGACGCAGCTTACCTTGACAAAATCTCTGAGCTGGATTCAATGATGTCTGAGTCAGACAACAGTAAGAGCCCTTGTAATAACGGTTTTAAGTCAGTGGATTTGGATGGGTTATCAAAGTCGTCTCAAGGGAGTGAATTTCTTGAGGAACCAGATAAATTGGAAGAAAGAACTAAGCCAAACCTTTCCAAAGGTTCTCTAACTTCTGATCAGTTAGAAAATGGAAATGAATGGAAACCGTCTTCTTTTTTCCTCCTCTCTCCATCTGACCAAGAAATGAGTGAAGAATTTTCACTCCATCCCAGTTCTAACTCAGGAACTAATGAACTCAAACCCCCAAGCTGTTTATTTCAGACGGAGTTTTCCGAAGGTGTTTTGTTAAGCAGTTCACATAGGCTGTTTGAAGATCAAAGGTTTGGGTCATCTTTGTTTAAGATGTCCTCAGAGATGCATGGTCTTCCTAACCACCTTCAGTCTCCTTGGTCTACTTCTTTTGTGCCTGAAAAAAAGAATAAAAATGTGAATCAATCAACAAAAAGAAAAATCCAGAGCAGCCTTTCCAATGCTAGCCCATCAAAAGCAACTAAAAGTTGACTCATTAGGAAGGTGCCATTTATGTTTTTGTCCAGAGAGGAATACAAGTTTTTAAAGTTACCTTTTTCCCCCTCATAAAAGTTCTGTACAATTTTGAATTGGTAATCTTTAGTCAACTGTCAAGTCAGAATGGTAGATTAGCCTATACCCAGAGTACTTTCGTTCATTTTGAAGAGTTTCTTCATTTTCAAATGGGAATATTTTTTGACCAGAAGGTAGGCAGAGGTTTCTTTTAAATGAATATTATATGTATCTGGTTTGGGTATATTTCAGCCATGGGCAAACTACGGCCCGCGGGCCGGATCTGGCCCGTTTGAAATGAATAAAACTATTGAAAAAAAAGACCGTACCCTTTTATGTAATGATGTTTACTTTGAATTTATATTAGTTCACACAAACACTCCATCCATGCTTTTGTTCCGGCCCTCCGGTCCAGTTTAAGAACCCATTGTGGCCCTCGAGTCAAAAAGTTTGCCCACCCCTGCTATATTTTGTTTTGAATCTTGATTTAACTATTAGATACAATGGCCTATTAATGAGCCTCAGTTATCTTCAGAACTAGGATTTCTTAAATAAAACTGTAAGTGTTCTCTACACACTGCTCATGACACTTGAGTTTCTTTAAAAGATTTTCCTAGGGTGGACATTATTTTGCCCCCTTTTATTTATGTCTAGTAGTGGCCTTTTATGCAAGGCCATCATGGAGAAATAGCACTCTAACCTTAGACCAATATTAAATTACTTTTTTTTTCGATTTTATGTGTATGGATTTTTAATATTGTGTTTTGTTCAGTTTTTGTAAAAACATTTTGCTAGTATGAAAGAATACATTTCTACATGAAAATATTTGTTTTATGTCAGATAACTTTCCTTTGTTCATCTCTTTGTGTGTAGTGAAAAATCAAAAATTGAGCCTACTTTGGAAAGAAGGCATGGAACAGTTGGGTTTGGAGGAGCCTAAACATGGTAGCCTCATTGTTCCAGATAGACAGGTGCAAAAGCACTCACTAACGAGTTCTTGATCCACTCATGTGGATCTGCCAGGGAAGCTTTTTTGGAATGATCAAGTTCTTGTTTGCATGTTACTGTTCTTTGTAAAAACTCTATGCATGATAGCTTTCTTGCTTGCACTGTTTTTCTTAAGAAAAAGACGTTTCAATTGGCTAATGGAATATCTTCTAAGTAGGACTTTTTTTTTTTTTAATGAAGAGTGTTAGGGTGAGAATAGGTGAGCTAAAGCACAATTTATAATTTAGGCTCTGAAAAAGTTTGCTCTCAACATGTTTGGTATAGCTATATAGGCTTTTAAAAAGTGGTTTACTATGCTAGTGACTTGCTTAGCTAATGTGCACTGAACATTTTACATTGATATCTTACTATTTTATGTTAATACTGCATGCTTTTCTATGTGAATTGAATAAAGGATGCCATAGCACCATAATCCTTGATATTGTCTCAGATATCTATAAAGCCTATAAAGATCAGTCAAACTTATCATTTTTAATGGATCTTACAATATAAACATTGACAAACTATGACCCATGGACCAAATCTGGCCTGCACCTGTTTTTGTGAAAGGCCTATGAACTAAAACGAGTTTATATATTTTTTAATGTTTTTTTAAATGCAAGGAATATTCCATAACACAGGAAAGTGATAAGTAATTTGAATTCCAGTGTTTCTGTATACAGTCTTATTAGAATACAACTACTTATTTGCTTACATATTATCTGTGGCTGCTTTTGCACTGCAGTGGCAGAGTTGAATAGTTGTAACAGAGGCCATATGTCTCACAAAGCCTAAAATACAGAAAAATGTGCTGACCCTGTCAGACTCAGGATTCAACAAAACCATAAAAGTAAAACAAATCGCTTTTATGATTTGGAGAATCATGCCCTCCACTTTTAGAACTAATAAGCCAAAATAAAATTTTTAAAGAGCTAATATAAAGCATTTTTTTTTGTTTTATCATACATATTTTCCAAAAAGTATTTATGTGTCATTTTATCTTTCTGATATGTTAAAAGCTAATGGATACTTTCAGAGATATTAGCATTTTAAGTACCTTTGACAATGTGGTTATACATTTGAAATTTTATTAAATGTAGAAATCTAATTTTTTTCTGAATAGAATAAATTTGGGGGTGAGCCTCTTATTCTGTCTGTAACTTTTCTGTGTCATGAATGTATCAGTTTTCAATTCAAATATATACTGACACTGTGCAATGGAATCCAGTGTGTAACCTGATTTATTAATGCCTACCGACAGTGAGAGTGTCTATATTGGGCCAGAGTATTTCCCAGCCACTTTAGAAACACTGCTCCAGTCTCCCCAAAACAACATTTCATATATTAAGTTAATCAAATCTGTAAATTTCTCAGTTGAAGAGTTTTATTTTAAATACAGTCTCATTTGTCCTCTTTACCATAATCTACGTCATGACAAATATGGTGGTCTCATATTTTTTACTATATTTGTTATGTACACAGACTAAAAAACAGCCACCATCTTTTATTGAATCAAAGTAATTTGCTAACCTATCTCATAATCCTCTTTTCACATTCTGTGAGCCAACTATTATCTCCAGTTCACAAATACGTGAATTGAGGATTAGTGGTCAAATGCATCTGGAATGGGATAGAACTGTTTTGCAGCTGAACCTCTAACTCCAGAGCTTGCACTCTTCCTCCCTTCTGCATGGGAGTTCGCATTTCTAGGCCAAAGAATGAATGGAGATGAAATTTCCAAGGATTCTTTTAAACATGTTTTGGAAGTATTAGTGTGTTTCTTTTTCAAATAAAATTTAATTCCTGCCTATGTTCCTGGATCTGACTCTACTACTAAGTGGAAGCTCAATGATGGGAGTGTGTATGTGCTACTTTTAAGTTTATAAACATTCACATTAACTCTGACACTTTTATGAATTTAAAGATAGCATTAAGGCTATGTTAGAAAAAGATGCACTAGTGATAAAGGAAGCAGACACTTATTAGTTCATGTCTTTATAAAAACAGCATCTGTTGACTGCTCATCTTTCTAAAATGCTATGCATGCTAGATTTTTTTTTACATGACCTTTAGCTTTCATCATTTAACTTTAGAAATCTACATCCCATCCAAAGCAAGTCTTTTTCCTGTTTTAATGGATCAACTGAGACCAAAACTCAAAATGGTAGACCCTTAATTTCAAATCTTTGTTTTCCTCTAATCTCTTTTTCATTTACCTTGGTTTGAAACAACTATAGGTAACACTGAAAAGGGGTAGAACTTGGATCTTGAACCCTAAGGTGTTTCAGGAACTCGTTTCTGTAATACCTCAGTGCTTTCAGTTTTTCAAATATATGCACTAGATTTTTTTTTTTTTCCCTTTGCTTTTGACCCGGTGAATATTTGAGAACATCAGATTAACAGTTTAACTTTATTGAACGTAGCCTATTAGATTAGAGGGGTTTCCCAAAGCCTCCTAAGAAGGTCTTTCATTCCTATTTGTGGGAGTCCTACAACATAGTCTTTGCCCATCACGATGTAACCTGATCCTTATAATACTTGGCAGAGAGAAAACCTTTTAAGCAATGATCTCAGAGTGCACAGTGAACATTTATTGCCTAATTCTCGGAACCCTGCTCTGAGCGAGGAAGCATCTGTTAAATGCAGATTTCTTTTGAGAACTCATCTGGAACTCAGGCTAGGGTGATTTTGTTTTATATGACAGGCAGGCTAGAATACCCTGAATTGAAGCTACACTTCTTGAAAGATGGTAGGTTCCTGGGTCTGCTGTGTTTTAACAGGGAGCAGACCTCCTCTAGTAAATGTTAGTTGGATTAGGCAAGTGTGTAGAATCATGGGCCATCCGTGACACATAATTTGGGGGTGGAAAGGTCCAATCCCTAAGGACAATAATTTTACATAGGCGTTTACTGAGACTTTCTGTGACGAGGGAGGACCTAGTTCTCCATTATCATTCTTACAACATATCCATGGGTGAATGGAAAAGTGCTCCTGTTGGAGAGAGCGTGGAGCAGAGAGGAAACCAGATGGCTTCGCGTTGGTACTATTTGTACTGGGTCTTTAAGGATGAATAATAGTTAAGTGTGGAAGAGGGCATTTCCTGCGTGGCCACTATGCTGGATGGGACGCCTATTTAGCCTACTCCTAGAAGAGGTGCAGAAGGAACCATTCTCTAAGGTCAGGGTTCCCGATTGAAAAAGGCTTCCAGATGCTCCAGCCTGAGCTTGCAAGTTTGTCTTTGCCCCGCCTTCTCCCTCGGAGCATCCCCCGGAGACTCCCCCCCCCCCCCGCGGCCCCCCGCGAGGGCCGGCGGCCGCCTGATGGCGAGACAGTGACTCCCTGGGCGCTGCAAGGCTCAGGAGGTGGCTGGACTGGCCCATCATCTGTCCATTAAGCCGAGGCTTGGCGCTCCGAAGGCAGGAAGGCGCGACCTCGCTTCACTCACAGGGTCATCTTTGTGCTGGGGTGGGGGTGGCTGGGGGCGGGTGAGAGCTGGCCCGCCGACCGGGCCCTGAGCCGCCTTTCCTCCCCGTGGTCCCAGCGAGCCCAGCCTTCCCGGATTCCCGCATCCAGTACCTCTTCCCCCCCCCCCCCTCCTCCGAACGAGTCTACCGGGAGCGCGGACACGCCCGGTGGCCCTCAGGCCGGAGTTTCCAGCGCTTTGGAGGGCGCTCTCAGTTGGTCCCGCCCCGTCCCCACCCGCAGAAATGACTGGCTCTGCGGTTTCCTTTAATTTTATGGCCACTCACGAACCTGGCGATTAAGACGCCAAACCAACAAAGAGTTTTCTTTCCACCTTAACCTTGCACACAATCCTTTAACAAATTAATTAATCCTAATGAATTAACACTTCATTTATTTAAACGCGCTACAGTCCATGAATTAAATTTTCATGCAGTGATTAAAGGCTGTTAAAATATGCATGATTTCGTTAAAATTTTATAATAAATCAGGGCAATGTGTTACATGACAAGGCAACTATTTCCCAGCCCCTCGCAAGGGGCTTTGATTTGTGCGGGCGGCGGGGAGGAGGGGCGGCGGCGCCGGCGAGCGTCGGAGCCGGGCGACGGGACCCAGCTGCTCTCACTCCGGCGTGGGGACCCGCGGCTTCGCGCTTTCCGCCGCCGCTTCTGAACCTTTCGGGGATCCCGCTCCTGCAGACAGAGCTGTGCCTGCGGAGGGCAACGGAGCCCGCCTCCCGGTCCCGGGAACCGCGCTAGCGGCTGGGCAGGGAGTCCGCTGCTGTGGATCTGCGCCAGCGGAGTCCCTCCAACCAGGGCGCGCGTGCGTCCGGGTCGCCGCTGCGGGCGAGGCGCCGGGCAAGCGCCGGGCAAGATCTCGTCGCGTGGGGTCCTGGGCGGGCGTGTCCGTGGCAGAGCTGGTTTGTTCGTTGTTTTTATCCTGGGGAACTTGAAACCCTGGCTCTAACCAGCGCGCTCTTGCAGTGTTGAAGCTGCCTGGTCGAGGCAGGGGCGGCTCTGCGTCTCTTGGGGCCTAACCCACAGGGGCCTGTGGCCATACTTAGTGCTACCGCATTGCTCACTTGGGCAACCAAACTGGTTCTGGCAACTAGCGGGCGGGGAAGGCGTGCCCCTGTTGGGTCGGAGATGTAGTTGTCTTGTGTCACCCCTAGGGCTTTCACAAGGTGGGTGGCTTTTAAGTCCACTGAGAGATTAGGCTGGAGATATATACAGGGGTGGGCAAACTGTTTTACAGTTGTTCATATAAAAAGAATACAATAATTAA